AATTTAGTACAGTCCGATCGCACAAAGTTTTTTTAAAAGTACACCTCATCTATACCGAAAATGCATAATATAAAAATATTGAATATAAGCACCAGTACTACATTTATTTACGATTTGCATACATAATAAGCTTTTATTACTCTCTTTCATGAGAGTAGACTATAGTGAAAATACACAAATTCAAGATTTAATAAAAAATGCTTCTGAGAGCGATGCTCTTGGATGGCAGTTTATAATAATACGCCTATATTTTCTGTGTAAAACAATTATTTATATATACAAAAAATGCAGTAATATAAATGGCAGCAGAGCTACTTATTCTAACCGCCCATTTTAACGAAAATACTTACATAGTATACACAAAAGTACATTTTCAACTAACTTAGAGAATAACATAAGTAATAATAAACTGTCTTTAAACTATAAAACATTAAATTAATACCTACAAGCATCAAAGATATACATATAGTCTCTTTTCTTTGTAACAACAGAAAAAAAGACATTAGGCAATATATGAATTTTGAATCCATTCTTTGGAAAGACTTCAAAAATTATTTTCTATATGGCTAGCGTGCACATATATTTTTGTTTTAAAACTTTATCAAGCATCATTATCATTATTTTTAGTAATGATTGCGCCACAGATAAAACAAGCTTAATCCTATTGTTTTTTCATTATCCCCTACGTATACTTGTGTGTCACCATATAAAGTTATCGACTCAAAACATTAGATGCCACTGACAGATTGAAAATTAACTGTTATTGTAGCATCAAGAGGAAAATTTAATTGTTAGAATTTTCAGTGCGTTTCAACTATATGTATTGAATATTATCACCGTCTTCGAATATACGAGAAATGTATTTTCTTGTGTGTGATTTGATTAAAAGGCGTATATTTGATCATATGGTAATATCAAAGGGTCACTGCACTGTTAAAAATAATTTGGATATGTTTGATTATAATAAAAACTATTTTATTCCTCATTATATTCTTGTCGTATTGTTTATTACGTCTTGAAACATTTGAAAATTGACTAAGATTTACAACACTGCACAAGATTTCTTTAATTTAAAATACTAATATGAAAACAATTAATTTATTGATGCAATAAAATTATGATGTAAATATGCAAATAAATTATTATATCATTAGTTGTAATTCTAAAAATTGCGAATTTTTAGTATTTTTAGTCAAATGTATTTTTTAACGAATTATTCGTGATTAAAAAGTTTTCGCAGTCAATTCTAATTACTCTTTTTATTTCTCGACATATTTATTTCTTCATATTCATTTGTTTTAATCATATGAATTGGAGTATTTTATCCATTTTGTTTTGTTTTTATTGTACCAATTCCTGAAAACAGGACAACTTAGATCAGGCATTAATTAAAAGAACTGACTCTTAATAAAAAAGAATAACGCGAGTAGTGAATTTTTTTAACAATAAAAATTTGTTAAATTAATTGTTAATTTTTTAGTAAACATCATTAAGAGTACCTTCTGAAATGAGTCCCATTTAGCCAGAGAAAAGAGGCTGAAAGTATTGAGAAAGATCCTAAGGGTAAAATAATTATTTTTTCATTTTATTTATTGGTACCTGATAGCTTCTAAGAAAATCAGTGACATATAACAGCATGTAAGAAGTTATTATCGTTATCAGCGTTTTCCAAATTCGTTTGTTGACTACACTTAAATACTTTATTTGCAGATTATATTGTTTTCTTCCTATGTTTTGCTTTTTTAACTTTAATTGTTTAAATAAAAATTATATAATATTAATACCTATGATTATTTAAATAAACATAAAAATATGTGCAAAAGGAAGACATATGTAAATATACGATTAAACATTCTTAAATATACACGCTTTGAATTTTATCATATTTTTCTTAAATGAGCTTACAGTCTCAATATCGTTGTGCAGGTGGTTCCACGAATTAAACACTCAGAGAAAAAGTTGATTGATGTTTTGAAGTTCCCTTTGAGGAGTTTGAATTTATGGCCACGGAGTCTCTCATCAATGTTGAGTGATAACAAGCTGCGAACATCATCACAAATGTGACCAAGTAACAGCTTATAATGTGTGTAATAATTTGTGGTACATATTCGTTTCCTTTTTCCCCACGACAATTTCTAGAAAATTTGTAAATATTTACATAATATTTAAGCAAACCCTATAACGTACAGAAGTGTTCGTAGAAAATAAATCAAATTTGAAAATTTTGTTAGAATTTGTTCGACACGATGGTGTCTATCCTATATCAAAATAGAAAGTGATAAAATCATAGTAAAATTAAAATAAAATATTTAAATTTATATAATGGTTTATAAAGTGTAACAGATATTCTATGTAAATTATACACATATAGATATGGCGCGTCAAAAAATCCATGAACCCTAACTTTCTGCCTTGTGGTAAATAAGCTCCTGAGTCGATGTGGAGCATTTTTCCTCATACCACATATACAGGGTGATTCAGAAATTATCCAAAAATTCTGGATGTACAGGGGACCCTTACAAATACAATTTTGTAAAGAAAAAATCAAAAAGGTCAGTCCGAAATTGATTTAAAAATACACTTCTGCACGGCACTGAAAACTGGTCCACTGTAAAACCTGACCTCGCACAATGCGACCGGTATGGCGGCGTGATAAAAACGGACAAAAACTTTCGCAAGGAAAGAAATATGTAAATAGAATTTTATCGCACCTATTTTATATCGGCAAATTCAAATGCTTTTGCCTTTATTAATTATTAATAAAATTAATTTGTGTTTTTAAATAATAAAATCATTTGACATACCCGATGCTGCAACAGCAATTGTTCAAAATTTTATCCACTCACGTGTAAACACATTTGGGTCCGTCTTACTCACTTTCTACGAACTAACACAAATGATGTCTTGCTTCACCATAACACAAATACTTCACCATAATACAAATGTTGTCTTGCTTCACCATAAATTAAAACGATATCCATCAACTCTGAGTTGCTATACACGCAAGCCATTTTTGACACTAACTACTAAAAAACTGATGTAAATACCACAGATAACAGGTAAAAACTACCGCAACGACGGATTTCAGTATTAGGAGTCACATGGCTCTCCACGCGTATTGCGAATGACGCTAGAGACTACAGTTGTCCAGCTATGTAGTGGTTTAATGTGCTATAACTTCAATAATTTTTTTCTCGGAAACTATAAGGATTTTACAAAATTTTTTTTACAATATTGACTCCATTTCTCATGCCGCATCTATTCCCAAATTTTTTTGGATAGTTGTGAATCACACTGTATATGGCAGAACGGCCATTTTCGAGATAGAGGGGAGGGGGATGGAAATCTGGGAAAAAAAGTGGACCCTAACCGTGTGGAAGCAACGGTAAGTCAAAGCATCCATATTTTATAAACCGGGAAAAATAGTGGCAGACAAAACTTTATGGCGGGTTCGGACGGGGGTGGGGTTGAAGAAAACCGGAAAAAAAGTGAATCTTAACCGGATCTACTCAAGTGCGATTTTCTTATTACAACATGCACTTTTATGGAAAAATAGTGGCAGACACAGCAGACTAGCAGTATGACGGTAATTTGAAATACAGCGTGGGAGAATTTCTCATAAAACTGTAAAACAGTATAAAATAAGTAAAAACTAAAAAAAATTTCTGCCGCTTACCAAATAAGTTCCATAATGACCACACAAACGTTACGTACTGCTGGCAGACATTTATATTTTTCTCTTTTCCATTGTTCATACCATGATACTTGATGTCCTTTTTCTGTTCCCTACAATCTATTCTCAATTATTTTATCGAGTTTCACTCTATTAATCTAGTAAATTTACAATGTTGGTTAGTATATTACAATTTTATTGTGGTATTTTATTAAAAATATTCTTTAAATTAATATCAATTTTTATGTTTGTTTCAGGGCAGATAGCAGCCCTGAACATCAACATGTGTAGCCTTCTTTACTTGCCAGTAAGATGCCGTCAAATCAATTATTATGCTCAGACATTGGCCTGGTACAAAGTTATAACATAACTCGGTTGGATTGGCATAATCTAACATTTGTCTGACATTTTAACTAATTGAAAATAAATTAAATTTCTATTTCAAATGGTTATATTTATTTGAAAATAATTGGTATTTTTCAGATGTACTAAATTAAATGTTGGAATTTTAGCTTTCTTTCAATATGTGTGACGCTAGGTTTATCATTGTTTTTGATTACATACTCTGCAATAATAAATTTTCAGGCACAATATTTGATCGAGAATTCGGGTCTAGTTTATATTTAATTTTATTATAACATTTATTTCTACTTTATTATAATTATAATTTCTCATTAACTTAACTATCATACTAACAGTTCCCATCATTTTTCTTTTACAATACAAAATGATTCAATATTTATACTTTATTTTGTTTGTACAATGCACTTTTAACTTATAAGTTCCTTGTTACAGTTTGATTTCGTTACAATAAATATTCTTATAATGTAAAGAGTGCAGTTATAAGAAGGCTAAGGTTGTGTCTCTTTTTGTTTGAATAAAATTACATAAAAGAGATCCCGGCATGCAGCCACCCTGTATCACATTGCAGCCACCCTAACATTTCCGATCTCTGCACATTACAGAGCAAAACGCAGCAAGTTGCTTCAAATAAATTATACATAATACGTTCCCAGTTTAGTTGCGACGTATAATAACACAGAATATTTCTCTTAGAAATTATTTTGGTATTTCAGAGGAAAACAAAATTGGAAAACCTATTAGCTAAGGTTAAGGGGATTCAATATATATTAAATCGAAACTTTGTTCGGCTAAAATATAATTTACAAGTTGCTTTTGTCTATTTTTGCTACTTACGTGCGTCAGATACAAAAATAATTGTTAAGCTAAGAGATTACCTAGTTAATTAGCTTATCCACAGTAGGAGATATGAAGCTTCTATATAAATATAGGGAAAATGCGATTTTAGGCAGTTTCTCGATTTTTATTTAGAATGACCTATCTTCGAGAAATTATAAGTGTGTTTGTGTTGCTTCTAGTAGCTGTCGTTGTCGTAGCAAAACGTAAGAAAATCTGCTGTGCCGTTCGTGTGCTTTTATTGATATACAGGGTGTCCGCGTTTTTGGTAGCAGGACTTTCACAACTTGTACTAAAAATCCTTTAAAAAAAAAGTTCATCTAAACATATATGTATAGATGCGTCGTTTTCGATTTACGGATTGTTCAAATTTAAAATGAGAATTGATTTTTTATTCGTAAAACGAAAACCCCTGTTTAGACTTTGTTGAAACTTGGCAACCTTGTTTGTAATAATAATACTCATTTTCTCACATAATTTAATTTGTCCTATTTTCTCCAGTGGCGTCACAACAAGATACCAGCTTGATAAAAATAGAAACAAATATGGTACGCCACTGCTTTTTGGTAGGTTTGAAGTTTTTCTCAGATTTAACTATCAAAAATACAACTTTTTTGTTATTTATTTTTTTCCTATCTCGCTTTGTTTAGACAGAAATAAAACATTTTGTTTCACACAGTTTATTGTAAGATAATAAAAAAATAATAAACAACACGGTATGGAAAAACAACTTATTGTATAAATAGACCTCAAAGGAGCTGTTCGAAATGCCCGCCAATTCGTTCTACACAGCGACGTATCAAAGACCGCCTAACGTCTCTCAAATGATGTGCAGTTATTCTGAGAGCAGCGTTCCGGATTCGTCGTACAAGTTCCTCTTGCGAGTTAACAGGCGTAGAGTAAACTGCATCCTTAATAAATCCCCAAACAAAAAAATCCAAAGGTGTTAGATCAGGCGATCGCGGAGGCCACCCAACTGGACCTCCACGATCCACCCATCTCTGTGGATACTCTGTATTCAACCAGTTTCGTACCACCAAAGAGTACTGGGAAGGGCATCCATCTAATTGAAAAAACGAG